TTTAATTTTATTTTTTTAATTTTTTAATTTTAATTATTTATTTTTAATTATTTACTATTTTGTTACTATTAATTATAAAAAATTTTATTATTATTTATAGTTTTTACTTTTTTTTTTATTTCATTTGAAACTTTTTTTAAACTAATTTTAAATCTCTTTTAAAATAATTCAAATAACTCTTTATTATCATTTTGCAAATTTTTTTTTATTACATCCTTAAAAAAGAAGTTAGTTTTTAGTAATTAAAATAAAGAATATTTTATAAATTCAATTAAAAAATTAATAAATTTTTAAATTTGTATTAATTTAAATACATTCAAAAGCAATAAATTTTGTTATAATAACTTTTGAATTAGATTTTCCAACGAAATTTAAAGAGTTAGAGTGATAAGTAGAATCAAAAGAAGAATAAACCATAACAGTGTTATTAGAATAAATAGAATAACCTGAGAAAATATCAACCACATTATTATCTTCAGAATCATCATGAAGATGAAGAATACCATTACCAATAAATTTTGTTGGTTCAATAAGATAAGGAGAAGATAAAGAGAATAAAAAATGATTTAAATCATTAGAAATCATTGATTTATCATTTGGAATAATTGAATGAAAAGAACCAAAAACATATCCTTTTTTTGTAAATGCCATTAATAAAATATTTTCTTTTCCTTTTAATAATGTGTTAAATGAACAAGCAGTTAAACCATCAGAATTACTATCATAAATTAATTTAAATGTTTGTTTAGATGTCCATTCTTTTAATGATTCATAAAATTTATGAAAAAATGATTTTTCTATTATTGGAATTCCAATAAAATATTTTTCATTTTCAATATTTTTCATATCAATTCCTTTTCTTTTATTTACACTTTTTTCTTTTTGTATTTCTTTTGTTTCTTTCTTAATTTCTAATTCATCTTTTGATTCTTTTTGAATAATATTATTATTTTCTTCTTGAATTTCTTCTTGTATTATTTTTTGTTTTTCATAACATTTTTCTTGTGTATTTATATTTTTATTATTTAAAATATCAAAAGATGTAGTTGTTGATGTAATTGAGTCATTAGATCCTTGAAATTCTTTAAAAGGAGTTGATATGAAATAAATATTACCATAATTAAATAAATTAGTAATTCCACCATTCATTCTTATTTATTAAATAAATATTTTAAGTTTTTTTATAAATGAAAAGAAGAAAAAAACTAACAATAAAAAATAAAATAATATAAATGGATTGAATCTATTTCTTTAATATAAAATTAATTTTTTGTTCAAATTGAATAATTCCACGATATTGAGTAAGCATTTTTTTTAATATATCTCCAATATTTTTTTTAATAACCTTTTTATTTACTTCATTATTATGACATGAACAATATATAAATGTAATTATTTTTAATAATACTAATTGATCTTTATGTAATTCTAAAAATGGTCTAATTCTATCTAAAAATCCATTTTCTCTCGTTTGTTCTTTAACTTCTTCACATAATGACATATTCGCTATTGCCCCAAACCCAAGTTTAACTAAATCTTCATCTTCTTTATTTTGTTCGATTGCATAAATTATTGCATCTGATGCTCCTAATAAAAATAATTTTTCTCTTGACTCTTTTACTGCTGCTATATTAATTAATGCACTTAATCCTTTACAACATATTTCTAATTCTGTTTTTGCTGATAAAACAACTGTTTCAACAACACTTTGAGCTACTTTGGTAGCAAATAAAAATTCATGCCAATCTTCTGTCTTGGCAATAGTAACTACAATATTTAATGCTTTCTCTAGTACATCTGTATCTTTAAAATTTGATACTATTCTTGTTATTCCTTGTAATACTCCTGATGACACAAGTAATCCAATATCTTTTTGTGTTGACGTAAAATAATTTAATGCAATAAATGTTTTATCAATTAATGATTCAAGTGTATATTCTCCAAGAATACTTGGAATACAATGAAACAATTGGGTTTCAATTAATATTTCTCTTCCATGTTCTGATTTAGCAAATGCAGCAACACAACCCATTGCTCTTGCTCCAATAACAGTATTTTTATATTTTTCAATAACATCAACTGATAATAAAATATAATGATCACATAATAAATCTGCCGCATCTGGATCAACAATAATATTCATTAACAATGCACATCCTTTTTCAACTAATTCATCTTGTCCACTTAATAATATTCTGTCTAGAGCTTCTTCTAAATTCCATTCTAATAAATAAAGTGAAAACGATGCATTAACTGACATATTAATAGCTAATGTTAATACTATTATTGTATTTTCAAATGATTTATTTGCTGCAAATAATGCTTTAATACATGTTTCTGCTAATATAGCAACAATTTCCCCATTTTCTGGTAAATCTTTATATATCATTGAAACAACTTCAAATCCTGCTTTAAGACATCCTGGATCTACTACTGTTTTTAATAAACTTTTTGCAAATAAAACAAACCAAGATGGATCATATGATAATTGTTTTACTGCACTATCATCATATAATAATGATGCAATATAACCATAAAGATTTCTTGCTGTTTGTTCTGAAAGATCACTCATTAATGATTCTTCAACCCAACGAATACCCCCTTTTTCAATTGTTTCTGCTTTTCTTTTTTCATCATCACAAACAAAATTCATTAATAATGCTACTGCATTAGCTACATCTGTTGTAGGAATTCTTTTAACACATGGAATGATATATTCAATAGGATAATTTTTATATCTAAATAATTGAATATATAAACTTACTAAATCACTCTCAGTCCTTTTTGAAACTACATCACATACAACTGTTAAATAATTATCTGATGGACAAATTAATAAAACATTTGCTAATCTTTTTAAAACATCCATAGATGAATTAAATTGAATTTGTGAAAAGAATGGAACCGTTTCAAAATCAAAGCATTGAAAAATATAATACAATCCATCTAATAACCAACATAACATTTCTTCATTTTTAATATCAATTATATTCATAATACTAATTATACGTTTTGCATATTCTTCAGTAAGTAACTCATATTTACTCAACTTCTCTATTAAATATGAACACATTAATCCAAATCTTTTGTGATTGTTTTCTATCATTTTTATTAAGATTTCAACTTCTATTAAATCACTTGTTTGATCACACAACACTGTTGTAACTGCTTCTATTAATTCATTAGATGATCTGTATTTAATAATTGGCCATAATAATTCCATTAATTCTCGTTTTTTATTATCGTCAACTTTCATTTGTTCAACATAATAAACAACATCTTGATGAAGTAATTCGTTAGTAGGGTCATTATTAATTTCTGTTACAAGTTGTTCAAAAGGAAAAGGTGGGTTCATTTTAGTTAGAGTTAACAAACTAAAATTTTTTCTTTTTTTCCTTCCTTTTTTAGTTTATGGATAATATTTTTAGAAAAGTTTTGGGATTTAAAAAAAAAAAAGTAAAAAAACTTTTAATAAAAATATAATAATTTTATT